GGGTCCATTGTATAGCTGATGGTCCTTAATGGGCCATCAAGCAGGCTAGGCAGAGCTAACACCAGTCTGTCTGGGATGTCACCCAGAAGCATAGCATAAGTTTGCCATACAGACAGTATAGAGCCAATATTCATAACTTCAACTACGAAACTGATACACACATATAGACAGCATAATCATAACCAGTAAACCAGAACCTTGTCCTAGACACCCCATTTGACCCCCTTTATACAAGATTTGGTGCCACTACAGGACTTTGGTTGCAACCGTGTTCTGTATGGTCCCAGATTATATCAATAATGTCACAGTAATATATATAAATGTATACAGTAATGTACAGTGTATAATAGAGTACATATGCAAATATAATTTTACAGTATTTTTAATTACATAAAAGAGAGAGAGAGATGGAAGAATGAAAGAATAAAAAAGGAAAACAAAAAACCTAACCACTCACCATTCATCCTGGATATTCTTGCTAGTCTACGACGACAACGATAATGGTGATATAACGGCTATGACAATGGTGATGCGATGACGATGATGATTAGTACAGCGCCCGTATGATGAACGATGAGACGATGAAGATGGATGCTGTACACACTCCGATGATTAGTCCTCCTCTTCCCCTGACAACACTATTGGGGGGGTCATCAGGGCTTGATGTCGATCCAGGAGACGGACGTGACGGAGAGCTTGGGTGACGGGGAGCGAGTCGTAGACCAAGTGGTTGGCTCTGGTTAAGCTCGAGAAGTTGATTGCATAGGCTCATCTGCTGCTGGTTGTTTTTTCTTGAAAAACATGGTGACTGTCAACTGTCGCTGTTGTCTCTTGAGCTGCTCAAACATTTCTTGATACTGTTTCAAATCGTCTGTGTGATTTTGAGGCTTCGTTCCATATAGGGATCTTATTCAGAAATTAAATCATTCAAGTGTTTCGCTGCTTGGAACACTTCAGCAAATTTATGAAGACTCCAACTTGCTGGCTCTTCCTGTTCGTCATCATCATCTTCGTCTTCTGTAGATGATTTTATCAGTTCCTCTAACTCTTCGTTAGTCAATGTTTCTCTATGGCCCTCGATTAATTCTTCAATTTCTTCCTCAGGGATGTCGACGAAGTCATCACCACCCACTTGCCTGGCTACCTGAACAATGCGTTTCACTTCTTTGTCAATGGTCGGGAAACCCTTAAAATCATTCATACATTCTTTCCATAGGTTTCGCCAACATGCATTGACTGTTTCAGGCTTAATTGCATCCATTGCCTGTTTAATGTAAGTGATGCAATCGGCAATGTTGAAGGACTTCCAACACTCCATCACATTAAGATTGGGATCAGCATCCATAGCGCTACCTATCCGTGAGAACGTAAGCCTCGTGTACGTGGCCTTGAAACAGTGAATAATGCCTTCGTTGAGAGGTTGGAGGATGGAGGTGGTATTAGGGGGGAGAAAGACGACTTCAACGTCATTATGTGCAAACCGGAGTGCCGCAGGGTGGCCAGGAGGATTGTCTATGATCAGCAACACTTTAAAGTCAAAGTCCTTTCTCTTCGAGGTACCGCTTGACCTCCGGAATGAAACACTTGTGGAACCTATAATCCATAAATAATGCTTCCGTTACCCAAGCCTTTTTATTTGATTGCCAGAACACAGGCAGGAGATTTTTGTTCTTGCCTTTTAGGGCACGGGATTTGCAGCCCTGTAGAGCAAGCCCGGCTTTATTAAATGCCCAGCCGCATTGCCACAAAACAACACAGTCACACGGTCTTTAGCTGCTTTGAAGCCAGGGGCTTGTCTTTCTGATTTAGAAATGTAAGTGTGGTTGGGCATTTTTTTCCAAGTCTTATCACGCACCTGCCTCACCACCTTAGCAGTCATTGGAGCACTTAATGCCATGGCTTGACGAATTTCTCTCTCTCGAATCTTGATGGGATGGATGCTAGATTCATTGCGGCCGTATTTACACACCACGTTGGAGACCGACATACCATCTCTCAATAAGTCCAACACAGCCAGTTTTTCCTTCAGCGTTGGAACAGATCGCTGTTTCTTCGATTGAGCACCAGACGAAGTAGTTGGCTTGTGTTTAGGGGCCATGTTGTACGAAAAATACGTATCTTTAAACACTAGAATCACACTCAGCGCGGCGAGATGCTCACACTATGAGAGGCATGCGGGAACTGAGACTGACTGAGGGAACAGCAGATTCACGTCTCCCATCTCACGTTCACTCCAGGGCATACGCTCATTGAGTGGAATGGTGGGTGGAATTGCCCACACTACTGTATTTAAGTTGTTATTTTTCTTTTTTTTTGCCGAGCGCGTAAAGTTGAATTCGCATAAGTTAAATGCGCGTATGATGCGACTCCACTATATCACCACCAGTGCCACTCGTACGGGGACAAATGGTTATGAAAACCAATACCCCACTAAAAGAAAAAGGTTCTCCTGATCCCAAAGGACCAAGCCCCAGACCCAGGTCAATGTACAAATCAGATCTTACCCACAAATCACGCTGCTGCCAATCCTTTAGAACAGGGGTGGCCAACCTGTGGCTCCGGAGCCACGTGCGGCTCTTCAGAGGTTAATATGCGGCTCCTTGTACAGGCACCGACTCCGGGGCTGGAGCTACAGGTGCTAACTTTCCAATGTGCCGGGGGGTGCTCACTGCTCAACCCCTGGCTCTGCCACAGGCCTGCTCCCCCCTTCCCACCCCCTCCCCTGAGCCTGCCATGCCCTTGCTCCTCCCCCTCCACCCCAGAGCCTCCTGCACGCCACAGCTGATCAGGAGGTGTGGGGAGGGAGGGGGAGGCGCTGATCTGCAGGGCTGCTGGTGGGTGGGAGGTGCTGGGAGCGGGGGTGGGGGAGCTGATGGGGGGCTGCTGACGTATTATTATGGCTCTTTGGAAATGTACATTGGTAAATTCTGGCTCCTTCTCAGGCTCAGCTTGGTCACCGCTGCTTTAGAATCTAAAATCTAAAGGTTTATTCATAAAAGGAAAAAGATAGAGATGAGAGTTAGAATTGGTTAAATGGAATCAATTACATACAGTGATGGCAAAGTTCTTGGTTCAGGCTTGTAACAGCGATAGAATAAACTGCAGGTTCCAATCAAGTCTCTGGAATACATCCCCAGCTGGGATGGGTCCTCGGTCCTTTGTTCAGAGCTTCAGCTTGTAGCAAAGTCCCTCCAGAGGTCAGAAGCAGGATTGAAGACCAGATGGAACAGATACAGCTGCCTTTTATAGTCTCTTGCTATGCTGCCTGTGCTTCCTTTGTTCCAGCACATGTCCCCGCATCCCTTGCTGAGTCACCAGCACAAGTTTGCCATACAGACAGTATAGAGCCAATATTCGCCATACAGACAGTATAGAGCCAATATTCATAACTTCAACTACAAAACCGATACACACATATAGACAGCATAATCATAACCAGCAAACCATAACCTTGTCCTAGACACCCCACTTGACCTCCTTTATACAAGATTTGGTGCCACTATAGGACCTTGGTTGCAACAATGATCTATATGGTCCCAGTTCATGTCAATAACATCACAGGGGGTCACATAGGGCCAGCTGTATTCCCAACCCCCAGGGCTCAAGCACTATGAGTCAGCCCCCCCCCCGCAGAATCTGGAACTGGCTTTAAACCATTTCAGTTCTCGCAATGGACGCCAGGGCTGGTGAGGGTCTGGGCCAAAATATCAGGAGACCAGACCAATGAACTGGACAGAGGCTGTGGAGCCTGAATTAACCCTCTGTTCCCAGGCAGGGCTGGGGCAGCCTGTGGCCCCCCAGGCTCAGGGTAGCCCCGGGGACTCCGGTTCTGCCAAAGGAACTGACCCCGCGCGGCCTCTCGGCGACTCACCCTCCATCTCGGTTTCTTATCTGGGACATACAGATTCTGCTGGATCCGAACTGAGCGAGTGCCAGGAACGGGGAGAAGCCGTCGCTGCTGCTCCAGGTCCTGGGGCCACTGCACCGAACAGGGACAGCTCAGCCAACGCCGAGGCAGGCCCAGCCGGGCCGGGGATGGAAGGAGCTTCGGCAGAGCTGGCTGGGCAGCAGGGGAGAGACGCTGCCCCCAGCATCACTGCAGTGGGGACGGGGGAGACAGCCCCAAACATGGTGCCAGCTACTGCACAGGAGGAAGATGTCCAGGGAGAGACAGGAGACAAAGGTGAGTGTGTAGGGGGGGTAATATGGGAGGAAAGGGGGCAGGAGAAACGGGGGAGCCTGGAGGGGCAGAGCAGCAGCTCCCAGGTGCACAGAGGGGAGTGCAGGGCCAGAGGGAGCAGAGAGTCCGGCGAGGTTGAGGGGACAGGGACACCCCAGGGGCTGCAGGGTTGGGGGGCCTGCATGGGTCGGGGTGTAACAGTGTCACACACGGGGTGATTTTATGGGGTAACAGCCCCACTGAGGGGTCAGATCTCTCCTGTCTGAAGGGAGGGGGGAGCAGCCCCCACCAGGCCCTGTCTCCCCCTTACGGGGCCTGTAACTGTCTCTGGGTGTTTCATTCCCCAGGTCTGCGGCCCCCGGAGGTGTCGGAAATCTCCCAACCCCAGTCAGTGACGGCGGGGGAGGAAATCACCCTGAGCTGCCGCATGACGGGGCATTTCCCCGCGGATCTGAGTGTGACCTGGCTCAGGAGGGACAGAGGGGCCGGGGCTGCTGTTCCCCTGCAGGACTCTGATCAGTACAAAATCGAGTCCGGAGTTCCCTACACACAGGACTGGAAAAGCTTCCAGCAGGAGACGAGACTCAGCTTCACCCCCTCGGTGCAGACAGACCAGGGGGCAGAGTTCATCTGCCGCGTGCGACACAAAGCCCTGCAGGCCTGCCTGGAGAGACGCAGCGGGGAGCTGCAGATAGCAGGTCAGTTTCCGGATATGAATTTATATCCTTGCAGACCCTCACTGTGTCTGGGTGTGAAGCCCCCTGGGCTGGGATCAGCTATGTTATGATCTGTACTTTAAACGTTTGGGCATCTACACTTGCTCTTAGGCACATGGGTCAGTTTCGATGGATCTTCACACCCACTGCAAATCCAAACCCAACCTCATCCCGTGTCCAGGTCGGCTCCTTGCTAACGTGGCCAGAGCTGTTGTTCTGGGCAGATTTTCAGGCAGAGTGAGCACAGCGCCCCCTTTTGTTCAGGGAGCCATGCCAGGAGCATGGCCAGGAGAGAGCGGGTGAACCCCAAATGTCAGCTAGAGCACGGTGCCCATGTCATCCCTCATGTGGGTCACTGGGACATCGGGAGGAGCAGGGTCCCTTAGGCTGGCATGATGGGGCCGAGATCCACGGGACAGGAGTCTGCTCCCAGCCAGGCACACCTGCTGCAGAGTCCGTAACCAGAGATCCCAGCTGTGGCAGGGCTTAGGGACCCGACTGGAGAGTGAGGAGCACAGAATGGGCTCGATGGGACTTTTCACAGTGTCAAGGCTGCTGGGCCCCATTCCTGAGAACAGACCCTGAGCACGGGGGGAATCCTGCGCCCTGTCATCCTCTGACAGCCGCTCGCCTGCGGCAGGGATACGCCTTGGAGTTAACAACCACCCCCTTGGGTCACTGTCACCCTGCCCACAGGTGTTCCTGCCCCCAGACCCGCCCAGCACTGCACGGTGAGATACGCACACACACTGTGCTGCCTTTCACAAATGCTACTGCCCCGACAAACGCCGTGATACGGCCCCGGCTCTCGGGCTGCCCCCGGGATGCTGCTCTCAGGAAAGGCCGGGGAAGTGTAAGGAGAGCAGAGGGTTCGGGGCAGAAGGGCCCTTGTCCAGGTGGGGGCACAGAGCTCAGCAGCGGGGCAGGGTGAATGTTGGGGTTCAGGGGGGCAGGTGAGCCCAGTGCCCAGCTGGGAGGATGGAAAGGGGGGAGGAGCCTGGCTGGCTGTGGGGGGAAGGTGGGAACGACAGAGCCCACAGCTCAACGCTCTGATCAGTAGAGCCCGGCACGGACACAGAAATGTGTATCCATAGCCGCACTGCTATCCGCAGATATAAAGCAGATACCCAGAGATGCAGATATCTGCAGATTTGCTGGGCTCTAGTGATCAGACAGTGACTGACAGGGCTCAGGTGGGCTCCGGCTGGGCTCGGGGGCTGGGCCGTGGCAGAGGGGTTTCTGGGGGGGCAGCGCCGAGGAGCTGGCGTGGGTAACACTGCAGGGACCCAGCCTGGGAGCAGGAGACGGGATTTGCTGGGAGCTGGTAACGCTCGTTTGTAGGTTCAGTCCCGCAGTGTCCCTGACCCTGACCGTGTCCCTCCCCCGCTGGGGGCTCTCAGCAGTGACTGGCCCCACAGAGTCAAACTCCTCCAGCCAGCCTGGACAGAGGCTGTGGGGCCTGGATTAACTCTTTGTTCCCAGGCAGGGCTGGGGCAGCCTGTGGCCTCTAGGCTCAGGGTAACCCTGTGGCTCCGGTTCTGCCAAAGGAACTGACCCCAGGGGGCCCCTCAGCAACTCACCCTCCCGCTCGGTTTGTTCTCTAGGACGCACAGATTCTGCAGCAACCAAACCATCCGAGTCTGAGAAAAGGAGAATGAGAAGAGGAGCCCGCAGGTAGAAGAGAGTTGGCGGCTGTGACCGGCCCACTGGTGGAGGAGGGGGCAGGTGACACGGCACCAAAAAGCAACGCAGGGGAAGATGGTGGGGCTGAGACCAAGTCAGAGAGTGACACATGCAGAGACACCACGATGACACAGAATGACACGGCCAGAGCCACACCAGCAAAGGGACGGATGGGGATGCTGCAGCCAGCGCCACACCAGCAAAGAAACCAGGAGACAAGGAGGGCGTAACCAGCAACGCATCAGAAAAGGAGCAGGCGGGAGACAACACAGCCGACGAGGGCACAACCAGTGATGTGGGGTCCCTGCCCTGGGCTGGAGCTGGCCACAGTAACTGAGACTCCCTGGACTTGCTGGTCTGGGGGCTGCTCGCTCGGGGGCTGGGCAGGGGGAGAACGGGGCTCTGGGCTGCACCTCCTGGCAGCCGTCTCTGTCACACTGCCCCAGTCTGGCCCTGGGGCTTGTGCTCAGGTGAATAAAGTAGGCACTCAGCGAGTCCCCGTGTCCTGTCAGTTGCTGTCCCCTGGGCTGGGTGTGATGCACCCGCCTGTCCCGCAGGCACTGGGAGCCGCGGCTGAGTAGCAGGGTCAGGATAAGTTCTTTGTCCGGCCTTTGCGGAGACTCTGGTCTCTGCCCTGGGGGCCCTGCTCCGTCCGGGCTCGGTGGTGCCCAGGGACCGGAGCTGGTCTCTGCCCTGGGGGCCCTGCTCCGTCCGGGTTCAGCGGTGCCCAGGGACCAGAGCCGGTCTCTGCGCTGGGATGTCTGTTGTTCTCGTGCTGATTGGGTCAGCTCTCTGACAGCCTCTCCTCAGGTGGTGGATTTCACTCCCCACAAATCTGGAACCAAACCCTACATGTTCCATAGCTCTCCAGTTGTTCCCATAGAAACATCTCACAATGACCACATGTCCCCTTTGGTGAAATACTGAGGAGATGGCTGGGGACAGGGCGTTGGACCTGCCTGGGCATTTCTGTGTCCCGGGGGGAACGGGGACCTGTCACAGGCCTCCTATGGGTCAGAAGTGGGCGGGGCACTTACAGCCTTTGGTTCCCCCCAGTTGTGACCCCCTGGCCTCCACTGCTGCCCTCCCAGCCCTACTCAGTCACTGACTGAATGTCCCAGTTTAATGACCCTCCTGTGCTTTGTCACACTGGGATTTACTGGTGTCACGGAGTATTGGGGGACTCAGGGCCCTGCACCCCCGGCCTCCTGCGATTCACCATGACTCTCAGCCAGCCAGTAAAGCAGAAGGTTTATTTGGATGACAGGAATACAGTCCAAGACAGGTCTTGCAGGCACAGACACCAGGGCCCCCCTCAGTTAGGTCCATCTTGGGGTCCAGGGCATCCCAGCCCACCCCCCTTTGGGGGGTCAGAGCCATCTCTGCCTCCCAGCCATCTCTCCAGCTCGCTTCCAGCACTCTGCCCTCAGCGACCCCTCCCACAGCCTTTGTTCAGTTTCCCGGGCCCCGGAGTCACCTGACCTCCAACCCCCTCCTGGGTTCTCATGTTACAAGCTCAGGTATGTTCCCTTGGGCAGACTCCCATCCCCCAATGCAGACTATCCCAGCCACACTCCCCTGTCAGCATTCACACACCCCAGCAAGAACAGGCCCAGTTCGTCACATCTCCCCCCTTCGAGACCGAACTGAGCAGGGTCACTTTAGCCAGTGACCCGGGGAAGTTCGAACCTACCCCCGTTCCCATGGATGCCCCCGCATCCCTCCCATTCCTTGGTGAGAATTACACCAGGCCCCTCCAGTTTCACGCCCCCCCTTAGGTCGGGGGTGCTTGAGGGCACTCGCAGTTCGCATGTGGGAAGGTTTATGCAGCCTGTGCCCTTTTCCCACCCCCATACCTCTGGGGCTCCAACTGGGCTGTGGTCTTCTCCCAGCGCTCCAGTCTGGAGGTCTGTGCTTTGGGCTCTCTTGGTTACGGAGCCCCCATTTTAACCTTGGCCACCCTCCGGAAAGGCTCCTATATGCTGAGCAACGGTCCTAAAGCCGTTTTTCCCATGTCCCAGACCCTCCTCCCCCTCTG